AAACAACAACCCAAGCAATGTAATCATAGAAAAGTTAGTCGTCAACTTTTGCCATGCTAAAGTGAAGTCTAGATTACAAATTTGCTCGTTTCCATGATGGATTTTTTAGCATTACATTAATGTTAGAAGCAAGAAAGCCTTTGTCTTATGGTGAGTGTTAAAGTGAGTGTTAAAAATAATTAACTACAAATTAATTACTAAACGTCAGCCGAAAAGCTGTTGTCAAATACATTTCCTACATCACAGAATGTGGGTCTTATAATATTGTCCAATAATATAATAATATGTGTCCACTAATAAATATTGAGTTTTAAAGTACATTTTTAACAACCTAATTAATTTTAGAAGTTATATATTTTACTTATTTAATAATTAGATAATTCCATTAAAAAAATAATTGAAAATATATTAATTTGAAGATTTAAACTTATTGTTCAAAATTACTAAAAGTAAATAAATTTATTAAAATGGCAAAGTAATTGCAGTATTTAGGCACAATTGAGTAATTATATTTACAATTACTTAAGTAATTTACTTTATCAAGTTAAGCATAATCAGTAAGGCACAATTACTTAGGTTTATATAAACTGACCAAGTGATTAAAAAGTTTGGATGTATTTACTTAAGAAATTACATTTTAAACCGACGTCATTTAAAGCATTTATAATAATTGATAGAAAGTAATTAAGAAATCGCACACTTCATTTTGAAAACGATTATTTTTTTAAATTTTTGAGCGCAATAACTTAAGTAATTAAATATTACAAGCACATTTGCTAAAGTAATTGCAGTAAACTTACTCAATTACAAGAAGAAAATTCGGCCAAAAAATTTAAATTATTTGTTTTAAATAACTGAAATTTTGAAATTTCTGAAAATATTTAAAACATTTTATTCCTCTTACAGTAGCACAATTATTTTGATATAATTTCTATATAAATGTCTAGTTTTTTATAAATATTTTTTTGTGGCACGATAGTTCATTTAATTTGAGATAATTCCTCAATTACTGTCCATTTAAAACTAAAGCTAATCCCAATAGTTGCTCATTCGGTTGCTGCCTGTAAATGCGGCAGCTCACGTTTGAATGTTGATCCCTGAGACAGAGGAATAAAGCAGCAAGCAATCACGACTGCTGGAAATGGTCAAGGCATGGCCTGTTCTTTGTTTGTGCTTGCAACTGGGACAGAGAGCGGGAGCTGGACTGGGAGTGGGAATGGAACCTGGGACTGGGACTGGCTGTGGCCTTTGCTATCAGCTTTAGTTTGTGGCAAAAAGCAGCTGCTTAGCTTTGAAATATTTAGCGGGGCCAGACAAATAAGTTGATTGTTGTATGCTGTAGCTGGCACGTAAATGATACTGACAGCAGAAGCAGAAAAAAGAGGCAGCAATAGGGGCGGAGGCTGCAGCTGAATCTCTTGACGAGGCAACGGGCCTGTTCAGCTGTCCAGCAGCAACAGTTGAGACAAAACTTAATTTCTACATTTGCTGACACGATAATGACAACAACAACAACAACAACAACAACAACAACAACAACAGCAACAACAGAAAAGGCGGCTGTCAGAGCGAATTTACGACGGCGGTTGAGTGGGTAAACTGGTAACAGAAGCCCGCACCACTTGGGAATACAGCTCATCTTCAAAAGGAGAGATGAATGGGGGGGGCTTGGGTTGGGGTACTTGAGGCATATTCCTGGACATCTATTCCATTAGACGCTTTTAGTGCTTGTTAAATTCCAATTAACAACTTTTTCTGCCAGTTTGCTTGATTGGCGATTTGCTGTGTTGCCTTTTAAAGGCGTGGCAGGCTCCCAGTTCCCTCCATGCTGGCAGAGCGGCATCTTGTCTTTCGCTGCGTTAATTGAACCCGCACACAGTTGTCCATGTAAGAGTCACATTAGTTGTGTAGTTTGTTTACCTGTCTGTCAGTTGGTCTACCTGTTTGTTTGTTTGTTTGTTTGTCTGTCTGTCTGTCTGTCTGTCGTGTTGTCTGTCGTGCAACTGTTGCACGTAGCACGTTGTACATTTAAAAGAGAAATAGAAAAACCTGCCCCAGCCATTGGGTGAGTCAGTGCAGCGCACGCGCGTTTCTGTGGCGTTTCGCGCGCGTTTTTTTGTTGGCCTTTTTCATTGTAATTCCTTATGGACGCTCATAACAATTAATTTTAATTTTAATTATAATTTGCGCCTTTTAGCTAGCTTCTGGCCAAAAGCAGCAGCCAGGCCAGCTGCGCAAGCAACTCATTTATGATTGACCACATTCGCAATGACGAAGACGATTACGACTTGCCTCCCATCCCACCTCCCCCACCACTGACCCTGCCATTACCCTCGCTCTCGCTCATAATGAAAATTGATTGAAGCTAAGCGCACAATTCAATTTTCAATCAACAGAGATTTTTGCGCGCCAAACTTTCTGTGTTTGTTTAGATTTTTTTTGCATTGATTTTTCTGTTTTTATAGGTAGGCGGAGAAAATGTTCAGTTGAACAATTTGATGGAAAATGCGGTTTTGATGTTTACAGCCGAAAATAGATGCGTGGTATTGCAATTAATTGAAAATGCTTCGTGCAATAAACATTGTATATATCGGCGATGAAAAACCTGTAATGATTAAACGCCCAGCGAGAAAAGTAATTGCCAAAATCTGTTTTGGCTTTTGGCCAGAAAGATGATCAACAACAACAAGATCATCGGCCAAATGCAGAAGCCAAAAGAATCAAACATTTCGGCTATTGTTGCGTTTTCTTATTTGATTTTCAACTGAAATTGAAACCAATAAACATTTATTTATATTCTTTTGTTGTATTTTAAGCGTACATTATCAATCTAAATAGTATTATTTGTTGATTCTGTTATTGTTAAACTAAACATGAATAATTTCTATACAAATACTCGGCTCTTTGCAAAGCTCTTGGTTCAGCTAGGGGGCTTACAGAAATAATGAATGTCGCACATTTTGTGGGCCGGATATTAAAGATTTTATCTTTAATGTGCAATTTAAAATTCATTTTATCACATGGTAGATTAGTTGAAGTTAAGCTTAGTTATTGATTTGCTAAGAAAATTGAAAAGGGAAAATATTTGATAAAGTGATATGCCTAAGTTTATTAGCTACATTAAAGCTAAAGATTTACTCTTATCTTAAAAAACCAGAAAAGAAATGATTTTGTGATATATTTAGTTTTAGAAAGAAGTAACAATTCTTTTTATGGTGCCGCAAATTAAATACCCTTTCACAATACAAATCAAAAATTTATATCGAAAATATGTATTTATTCTACTATTCTTATGTGATACTTAATCTATCATACATATGCTATAGTCTTGCCAGTGCTGATAAGCTTTCGCTAGATAAGTTAAGATATCTGGAAAGCAATGCAATTGCGAACAATAGACCCTATGCGGGCTATATACTAAAACGATCTGCTGCTGACAATGCTGACAACATTGTTGCCTGTAGGAAAAAGTCGTATTAATGCCAGATTTTATTTGAACAGAAAAATATGCATGGCTGTGAAGCTTGTCATATAAATTAAGAAATTATTCACATATATATATAAATATTAACTTATATATTTCATTGTATATAAAGATGAGTATTTTTGATTTTTCACACACACACACACCGTATAAATGTCCGCAACATTTCAATTTGAAATTGACAAATAATAATTTCGGTCTAAGGCTCTTATAAGTCGAAGAGCCTCTTTTGAGCTCGCTCTCATAGAAAAGAGTATATGTGATTCTTACTTGTGTAATCTAATTTGCAACAAATTGCAAGTCTAGCATAGATTAAGTTCAGCTAAACCTTCATACTAAGCCTATGCCTGTCAAGTCAAGAAAGTAGATCGAATGTCTATGCAACCGCACAGATAACGCGCCGCAATACTTTTAATTAATCTAAACTATGAGTATAAAGAAATACGCGCTTATCAATGAGTGCTCTCAAGGCAACTACTAAATGTGTAATTCAGTTTGAATAAGTAGTATTCTTCGGCGGCAACAACTGCAATTAAGATCAGCTGACACATTTCCTACTTATATGGCAAACTAAAATATAAATCCGAAAAATTTTCATTTTCAACTAGGTTCAAGCGATGCGTCGCCAAATGCACTGAATTGTGTTGCTTGTTTTTGCGTAGTATACGATAAATAAATCTAGTGTCTGCCATTATTTACTTATTGTGGGCAGCATTAGCGACCACGTGCACAACGACAACAAGCGGCAACTAAATCCAAACAGCCAACCACCCACCCAGCCACAAGAGAGAGAGAGCCACAAAATGCAGTCAACAAATGCCGTCGCCGTCATTTGGCTAAGACTCGTGTGCATTCGCCCTGCTGCCAAGTTGATTGTTTAAACTAAACTGATAAATGGCTAGAAAGTCAACTGATAGAGTATGCCGTAGTGTTGTGGGTTGGCGGGTGAGCAGGGGGTGTGGTTGGGGGCTGACAGCGCCAGCTAAGCGCCTAATGTCAAATAGACAATTCGCCAGCAAATATTGTATTTACTTACGGCTACGCGCCGAGGCTCGTTAGGCTCAACTTGTTCAGGGGAACGGTGACAAATTGTTGCAGATACATCATGATCGTGCCACAATGATAAATACAGTCGCGTCGCCCGGAATCAGCGTCGATTTATCGATTACTGTTGCCAGTTTGAATTTCGATTAGTTTGCATTTGAATGCGGCAACAATTAAACTGTCTGCGTGAGCGTGGCAAAGATTTATGACTTTCCAGCGTGCGTCAGCATCTCGCAGGTCAAAAAGTCAAAAACTTGGCTTTGATTTATGCACTCGGTGTAGGTCCAAAAAAAAAAAAGGAAAGAAAAAATAAATTTACATACGCGCGCTCGAGGGGCAGCTGAACAAAAGCCCGTCCATCCTGTCACAAGAGGCCTTTTTTATCTTTTGTCAATTTGCGTTTCATAAGTGTGTCACGCCCACGCTGCGCTTGCCGCCCATGCGAGTGCAGCCTGATTGTTAATGAACTTACCGGAATGTAAAGACTGCGGCAGGTAGCTCCTGGTGCCGCGTCCTGACTGCAGCCGGAGCAGCTCGTTGACGCTGTCAGCAGTTAATTGAATTAGTTGTTAATTTATGGCTATGTTTTCACTGGGAATTTTGTGAATGTGCGCGTTCGGGGGAAGGGCGGCTGGTAGCGGGCACGAAACAACAATGCCCCAACGGCAACAGCTACTAACAATGTTGGATGCTGCTTGAGGGGCGCCAACTGGGTGGCAGCAGTCGCAGCAGCAGCACACACAGTGGCATGCCAAGGACGCCGCTGCGTCGCCTCCTCAGTGACAAAGCTGCGCCGTGGTCTCAACTCGAGTTGAGGCTTGATTAAATGCCTGCCACTTAAATTGGCTTTTAAACGGCACGCACTGCAACCGGCGATAACAAATCAACAAATCAGCCCCCGTTCAAGTTTTATTTAGTGGCCGTTTTTTTTTTTAATTTTATATGTGCACTTGTTCCTTAACACTTTTATGCTCCTGCACTTTAATTGGCCGAATATTCACAGTTTACTCGCTTTACATTCAAATTACATGAGTTTTATTCGAATTTGCGCGCCACTTCGTAGCAGAAACTGTAGCTGCCGCGCGGTACGTTCGGAATTCGCGGCTGTTGAACGGCAACTGAAATCGGCACATGCCACAAACATATTCAAAGGCCACGCAACAATTGCGCCGGCCGGCTGCTTGCCCAGCTGTCTCCAATTTCCAATTGGGTATCTGGTTTTGTTAACAGCGCCATTTTGAGTTTAACATGCCCGTTTTGAGTTTAACAGCCAAGGCTTGCGCGCGCTTTCCTCTTAACATTTTCTGTAGATAAAAGCATTTGAAAAAACACTTTGCTGTTTCCCTTATTGTATCTACATTATTTATGCTTGAGCTTCATGTAGTCGTATATATTTTCCAAAATTGCCCGAGATTTATATATGGTCGTTTATATTCTGTAAAATTGTCCCCAGTTGCGTTTGCCACCGGCTTACTTTGAATTTTATGCTGCTTGCTGATAAGAGAGTCTTATGAATTATTCTTCAGGCATTGTCTCTATCAGTTGTGTGCCTTTTTATTTTTGCTGTCATTTATTATTGGACTGACGCACTACGTAAATCACAAGCTTCTAATTGTAGTCTAATTAAAATGGGCAGCGACATAAATTTAAAGAATTATTTCTTATCAATTTTCTATAATTAAAGTGCGCTATTAAAAGAAACGGGGCGCGTGTAGCGAAAATATTATGTTAAGTTTTATAAATATAAACAAGCACTTGTTGCATTTCCCCATTTTTCATTCACAATGGCTGAGCTTGCAAAAAAAGCTCTCCGAATTTTCCTTTTCTACGGAGCTGTAAATTTCATTGACTTGTTTTCGAGAGGTTTTCGTGTTTCTGGACAAGTTACCACACAAATCAAGATACCAAATATACTAATGTAGTTATCTCTTGCGATAAGTTCTGTCAACATGCAATTCAGCTTTGATAGGTGAGCAAATAGATGTATCTGTAATTGATAGTCGCGATAGGGACAAAAAAGATAGCCTCAAGTGGTTGCATCAAATTATCAAGACATTTGCCATAGCAAATCAGTTTTTAAAGTGCTGGCAATAAAAAGCTTAAGAACAACTGCATTTACAGGGTTTACAACTTTATTAAGCAGATTTTCGAATCAGCAAAAGCTTTCTATTCCACGGTGTAGGTGAAGGCAAAGCCCGCATCGTTGGAGTCGTAGATTTCATCGCTGTTGAAAAGCACCAGCAAAGGACCAGGGTTGTTGCCTAGCATAAAGTTAAGCGAGTTTTAGAGAGGGAGAGAGATGGAGCAAGAGAGAGAGAGAGTGTGTGTGTGTGGAAAAGCTGTTGTTCTGGTTACTTACTGCTGATGACCACATCGTTGTGTGTGGCGCCACAGAAGTAGGTGGCGCGTTCGTTGTTCTCCACCAGCTTGGCCTGCGGCACCATTAGAAAATCGGCGTTGTTAACACTGGAGCTGCCGCTACGATAACAGGAGTTGTCCGTTAGCAAAGTGCTGGCCGAGCTCTCGGCGCCCACATGGAAGAAATACGAGCGTATGCTGGAATAAAAACAAAGCACTTAAATTCCATTCAATTCTCCAAGCCGGCAACTTACGTGAGTGCCGAGGTCTGCGTGGTGCGTCGGAAGCAGATGGCATAGTTCAGATGGGATGGATAGACGCCATGACCATCGTTATAGTTGAAGGACTTGACCACGCCCTTGGTTTGCGGGAAGTACTGCAGGCAACCGGGTGGTGCGACCAGAAAGCCATCGGTAAATGAAGTGGCGCGAGCCTGGGGCTCATCACTTGGCGCGAATAGTTCGCGCACCGAGGCGCCGGCCGGGCACTCCAGTTGTGTGACCACCATGTCCCAATTGGGCGTCGGCAGGGACGAGCCGCCGGCACGATTTGCCAACGAAATGAGCAGATCGATGCGAGAGACACCGGCACTGGCATTGAAGGGCACATAGATGTGCTGCCAGACCTCCTCGCCGCACAGCCGCAAGCCGTTCACCTCAAAGTAGTCCACGCTGCACTCGGCCGTCTTTAGGCCCGTTTGCGCCGACTCCAGCAGCTCCGGCTGGGCCAGTGTCATGGCAAAGTCGATGCGCAGCTGACAGACGTATTTGCTGTACGCATTGATGTGATACTCGCATTCGCGTGGCGGATTCGTTGGCTTCACCAGCTTGATGTCCTTCGCGGAGGTGCTGCCACCGCAGCCGGGCGTGGCCACCGATGCCGCCTGCACGCCCACGCCGAGCAAAGCAACGAGCCAGACAATTGCAATGTAGCTGTTCATTTTGGTTTTTGGACTCTCTGGCGGCGATTGTCGGGCTTTTATGGTTGCGACTGCTGCTGCTGCTTCTTCTTGGCCCACAATTATCTGTGCTAATTAGCATTTTCGTGGCGCCGCGATAACAAATCGATAAGTTTTATCGCACAAGCTCAGGGGGTCTGCCTTAGAGCGTGCAGCTTGGCAATTCTGCAAACATTTCCAATTAGCAAATATGTAGCTATTTCAAATGACAAGACACAATATCTATAAATAAATGTTTGCAGGTGGTGAAGATGAACAAGAAGAAGAAGATGTGGAGGAGCTTTAGATTAAATGAGTAGGTGTTGATTAATTTGGGACGAAAATTCTAAATATAAACAAATGCTTGTGGAGAAGATAGAAGAAAAATAATAGGAGGGTTAGATTACGTTATAAGCTCTACAAACTTAGTGTTGATTAATTTAGGCAAAACTTTGCGAATAAATAATTGTTTGCATCTTTGATGCAGAATGGAATAGATAAGAAGAAGAAAAAAAACTTAAAGTATACTATTAAAGTGTTGATTAAAAATATTTGCTGTTGAAGATGAAGAAGACGAAGAGGAAAAGTGTAAGATTATGATATAAGCCCTACAAAGTCAGTGTTGATGAATTTGGGAAATAAACTAAGCATCAACAAATTTTTGCAGCGGAGTAGATGAAGAAGAAATAGTTGTTGAATTATATTTTTAACTCTAAACAGATAGTGTTGATTAACTTGTGAATACTTTAAAGAGTTGTTGGAAGTAGCGAAAGAAGAAGGAAAGTGTTAGATTATATTAATAGCTCTGCACGTTTTTGCCGAGAGAAAGAAGGAGGGCAGTGTTAGATTATATTGTAAACACGACAAAGTAAGTGTTGATTAATTGAGAATACAAAACTAACTATTTGAAAGAGCTTTAAATTAAACTTATCTTTTGGAATGCAAATACGAATTATTATCGAAGCAGCGAGTTTCTCAACAATTGAACCAACAATTGTTACTCATCACGATTTGCTAACTGAGAGCTTCTTGAGTGGAATTTCGAAAAAACAAACGGAATAAACAGAAGAAGAAAGCTCAACAAAAGGAAAGAGAACCAAAATGTATGCCTAGAAATCAAAATTAAATCAAGCACAATATTTATAATAAATGCAGCAATGCTAAAAGCAAGCAAATATTTGCTTAAATTCAGTTAATTCAAATAACAACAGGAAATAAGATTTTTAATTTAAAATAGCTCGCATCCAGTTTAATGCTATTCATACTTAAATCAATAAACTTTTTCATTAATTCAACATGAGTGCAAATATTTGTATACGCTTTTGCGGTTGTTATAAAGTTCTTATGATATGTGTGAGGCATAGATGAAGACGCATCTGATGCCATAAGATATATATATTTTTGATTGTTATCCATAGCCGAGTCGATATACCCATGTCCGTCAGTCTGTTTCTATTCAAATTCTCCCAGTTTAAAGGATATTGTCTTGATACATTGCAAATGTTTGCCTTTCTGTTGCATGAGGTGCATATCTTTGAACCGGATCGGGCAGCTATGACATAAGACTTGAATTGGAAGAGTCGATCGAAAAGTAAGTTCTTGTATGGATAACTTTGCTTGTTATCTTGACCAAATCCGACTTTAACTAGCTTAACTAGGCTAATCGCACCACTAAGATATATAGCTTAACTAAGCCGTAAGTCAGATGTCGATAAGGGTATTAAGTCTTCGTCGTTTCGCTTTCTCGTTAAGTCTTTAATTACTTTCTTGCATTTTTTTTTGCTATTTGTTGTATTTTCTGTCAAAGAAATCTCATCAAATTTAATTCCATTAAAGCTCAATTCAAGAAACTGCTCAACAATTAAATGCAAATGCACAGATTTCTAGGTATATTTTCAATTGTTTTTTTTTTTTTCATTTTGCTGCCATTTGCTGCACTTTCTGGCCATGTCTTTGGCTTGATTGTGCAATTGAGATTGTGCAATATTTAATTGCTGATAAGCAATTGATTGATTGATAATTTCTTCTGTCATATTCACACAGCAATTTATGGTATCATACCAGAATGTGTAGCAACTTTTCACTTTTTGACATCATCGCAAGTAATTCCAATTTGGATGGGAGGGAGACATTCTTTGTGTGCAAACATAACCCACTTTTGTGCCCAGTCGAGCAGAGCTGGCCGAGGTTTGGCTTCGAGGTTCAATGACTGGTTACATTTGAATATTCATATTCGTATTCATGTTAGTTCAAAGTAAGCCGGACAGCCGGACTTGTGCCGCTCTTAGATTCTACTTACCAAATATTGACACAAAGTGCTTCTAACACGAAAATCACATCAGCGCAGCGACGTCGCGGTCGGCGTCGGCGCCGCTGCCAACGCTGGCGTCATATAAAAGCTGCTGCGCCGCCCAGACACACGCTCAGAGTTAATGTGAAAGTGTAGGCGGCAGCAGCAGCAACTAGTGGCAGAATCAAACATCAATTAACTACACCTTAAGCACAAGGATTATGCGAGCTTTAGTCAGCCTCTATTTGCTGGGCATCTGCGCCTGCGCCCAGGCGCAACAAGAGACTGTGGCAGACACAACATTGGGGCTCAATCAAACCGCGGAACAGGTGCTCAGCGAGCCGGGCAGCTGGCGGCAGGCGCGTCGACGTAACGTTCTAGCGGACAGCTGCACCACAAATGGAGGTGCGACGGGCACCTGCCTCACGCGCTTCAAATGCATGCGGCAGGGTGGCACGGTGAACGGCTATTGCGGCACCTACGGCGTCTGCTGCGAGAGTAAGTGAATGCAGTGTGTGTGTGTGTGTGTGTGGCACAACCAGAAGCTGATTCTTCCTCCTCTCCCCTTCTGCTTGCCTGCCACAGCCAACATGGCCTGTGGCACGACGACGCGTTTGAAGCGCACCATCATCCGCAACCCGGCCGCATTTGTGAGCACCATGTGCCAGTACACAATCGAGGCATATAGCGCGAATGTGCAACAGCTGCGCATCGATTTCGAGCAGTTCGAGCTGCAACAGCCAACGGTTAGTGCCACAGATGAGCGTTTGGTTGAATGCCAGGACTACTTTGAGGCAGGCAGCTTTAAGCTGTGCGGCATGAATGCCGGCCAACATTTGTATCTGCCGTTCAATGTGGCCGCTGGCATCGATCAGATCACGCTGACCTTTGCGGTGCCGACACGCTGGCCGCAGACCAACTGGCGCCTGATTGTCACACAGCTGGAGGCGCCACAGGCCAGTAGCAAACGCAAGACGAGCACGTTGGGCGGCTTTGGTGGCAATACGAACAGTTTGCAGGATCTGCGCAGCATCTTTGCCTCCCATCACGCCGACTACGAGCTGCTGGCACCGGCCGGCTGTCAGCAGTATTACACAGAGCTGACGGGCAACATACGCAGCTTCAACTATCAGCCGACGATGGGCACCACCTATATGCCGGACACCAGCTACACCATTTGCATCAAGTCCACGCCCAGTGCCAGCATGATTGAGTGAGTCGCTGTCGCTGTCTGCCGCATGTTGCAAGCTCTAACAACCTCACACACTCTGCCTCCTCTGCCTCTCTGCAGATATAGCTTCAGCAAGTTCGCCCTGTCGCTGGGCACAGGCGAGGGCGAGGGCTATGATGAGGCATGCCACACCACGGTGCATACGCCGGGCAGACAGGAGGATTATCTGATGATACCGCTCTCGTTACTGGCCAAGAATACGGCCTATCAGCCGACCTACTATTGCGGCACCAACGATAATTTCATCGTCTATGGTAAGTGCTGGCATCATCCACCGGCTGCTGCATCCTTGACCTGCTGTTAATATCGGTTTACATTTAACCACACCCAGCATCGCCGCCGTACATGCTGCACTTCTCCAGCGACGAGATGACCATCGATGCCACCCAGGAGACGGGCTTCAGCCTGACTTATCGCCTCCGTACATCAATTCTCTAAAGTGGCCAGTTAAGTGGCCATTAGATTAGGCAACATTTTAGCCATGTGCATAGAATTTAATAAACTAAAGTGAAAACGATTCTCCTATTCAGCTGCTAGCTGTTCAGCTACTCGATTTACTTGCCACACTCCCACACAAGCTGCCACAAATTCAACTATTGCTAATAGCTAACACAAATTGCTATTGAATTATTGGCAAATATGCTTAGGTGGAGAGTCCTTTAAAGAATATAAGAAACTATCAAGGCTGGAATTGTTTGCATATTTCAACTATGATATAAGTACTGCTTATTTTTCGACGTCTTATACTTTTCAACATTCTTCTATGGGGAGTCCTTTAACTGAATAATATGCAACGGAAGGAAACAAATATCAAGGCTGTCTAAGAAATTCGATTGTTATATAGAGAGTCCTTTAGCTTGATATTAGGAGAAGAAAAAAAATAAATGCATTAAAGCTGGAATTGTTTGAAATTTTCAACTATGATATAAAATGATGTATGTGTAATATTCGAGACGAAAAAATATACATATATCAAAGCTGGAATTGCCTAATTCCATGATATAATCCCCGATTCTTGTCCAATCTTTAGCTAGATTATTAAATAAAAAGTCCTTTATAATAATACGCTACGAATTAAGACACAAATATTTGAAAATTCTGACAATAATCCCTAAACAACTTCTATTTCTTACATACTTACATTCTTTAATAATAACAACTGATTAAAAGTTTTAAGTATATGAGTTTTTTTTTACTTAAATACCCTGAAGAAGCGTATCATCATATTTATAACATAAATAATTGACAGCTAATCCCAGTCTCAATATTCTGTAGCTTTTTAGTTAACAGTTGCATTGAAAAACAAAATATTAATAAATAATAATATTAATAATAATTTTTAATAGCTTGTAAAAATATGCAAAATCTCACCTTTTAATTAAGCCAAAACCTTTTCTCTTCCAGCTACACATTTGGTGAGTAAATAAAAAGCTTTTTGACTGAGAACTTTTATGCGTATCCATTTATGATGAACACGTTTCAAAATGTTGCCAAAAGTTGAAATAAAGAAAAAGTGAAAATAAATATAAATAAATATGTGTAGTGGCGCATTAGAAATCTGAAGCTGGCAACTTGCTGCGGTCAGCGACACGATTATCCTTTTAGCTGTGCAATTAGTGTGATTTAAGTTAAGCAGCTTTTGTGCCGGGTTAAGGGCGGCAGGGTAAAGAGGGGGCTGGATAGTTGTGGCACGCCATGGGACGCCCCTAACAAACACAAATACCCATGCCAGAGTGTGCGTGTGTGTGTGTGTGTGTGTGTGTACACATGAGCCATAAGCCAGAACGATAACAAATAGCCAAGTTCAGAGAGCTGTTTATTCAGTTACGCACTCACCCATTTCTTTTGTTGCTATTGTTGTTCTTGTTGTTGTTGTTGTTGTTGTTGTTGCTGTTGGGCTTAGATTTGCTTAGAGACGGCACTGTGGATGCATAAAACGCGCAATTGGCAGCATTAAGATGTTGCCCCACCCACCCAAGCGTTGAGGCCCTTTCACTTTGACAAGGTGCTAGATTTTAGAGGCAATGCTAATTGCCAGCCACTGAGCCGACCAGCTTCTTTCTTTCTGTTAAAAATTTTTTTATTTTTTATTTTTTGTTCTCTCCATTTCTTTTCTTTCACCTGGAATTTTTCACACTTAACGGCGGCAGCTAACAGCATTTCAAGCGAGTGTAAATATAATTGTGGAATAAGTCAATCGAGCTACTCATCGAGCTGCTCATCTAACAGCCCATAGTCTGTGCGTGGACACGTGTGGGGGCGGGCTGAGCTTGGCAGCTAATCCAATGGTCAATATTGATGATTGCTGTAAGGCAATGGAGTGCTTCGGTGGCATGTGCTAGATGGATTATGGATTAGCAGCTTCGCACCTGAGTCGAGTCGGGTAAACACAGAACAACAAGAGACCCCGCCTCCTACACTTCGTTTATATGCTCATACATATTCATAATGGCCGCCAATTTGTTGCTGCAAATCTTGTGCAATAATTGTGGAATTTAAGCGCCGGCTCAGCTACGCAAATGCAGCACATAAATTAAGCGTCAACTAAACGGCAACAAGGTGCAAACAAGGTGCAACAAGGGTATAAAATGCTGAACATAATAAAAAAAAAATTAAAGGATACCAAGGTAAGGCGCAGTTGAAATACCCTAAGCCCGGTAGAAAGCAAGTTAAGGCATAAAATGCATTGAATATATTTTGGAAGAATACAGAAAAGTGAATTTCGAATTGTGAAAATGTATGCAATAGAAAAACTGAAGCCTCCAGCTTGTGCAGCTAATGCCAGG